CCCCAAAACCCCAAAACCCCAAAACCCCAAAACCCCATAAGGGTATAATAATGGGTTGATTTGAGAGTATATTATGAATTTATTTATTTACAGTTTAATTGTAATTTAAGTGAAAATAGAGTTGTTATCTATTACTTAAGACAATCTAGTATAAATATAAATTGAGTTGTGTTTTCAAAATTTTGTATCTATAGGAGTAGATTAGAATGAAGTATAGTTACCTTTCTTATCAGTATAGTAATTTCACTAAGATTGATGAGAATTTCATGCTTTTTTATTTCATTACTTAGATGAATCTTTGATTTTATATTATTTGTTATTAATGTCGTTGTTATTTTTTTAACTTTTTTCATCCTCTTCATCATCATCATAACTCTCGTCACTTACATTATCTTCTCTCTCGTCGTAACTCCCTGAATATATTGATTTCCCATCGTTAATAGTAGAATCGTGCTTTGAAAGGCCTGGATTTATTTAGTTACTGGAGCAGAGTTACTAATAAAACTCAGGGTGCTTCAGTTTCAAATGTTGATTTAATGAGCCCTCTGACCTATTAACATCAAATTAGTTATATGAAGGGAAGAAAGAATATATACATACCCATAAGATTTGGGGCAATCCTCAATCGGACATCGATAGTGTCTAGCTATTTCTGTAGCAGTCCTTCTATGTCTTTTGCGCTTTTCCTCTGCTATATCAAATGTCATACCTAATGCCTCTTCGTGCTTCCTCTTATTAGACTATATGAATATTGATAAAAGTCTAAAATAAAGACGAAAAAAAGAAAAATGTATCTCTCAAGATAGATAATATTCAGTCATCAGGCAATTTTCATATTTATGAGTAGATTTTGGTTCATATTTTTTGTGATTTGTTGATTGAAGGGATAAGCGATGCAATATGAGATTATAAGCCACTTACCTCTAATCTATTTAGTTTGAATTGGAGATCTTGTTTTTCATTAAGCAAGTGCTGAAGTCTGTTTGTCAAAACTATGTTTGCATAGTACAAGCGGCAATACTCCTTATAGAACTAATAATTCTAGTCGTTTTCATCATCAGTCATGCTTATTTTGTGTACTAAAAGTAGTTAAATAATTCCTATTTTACATTCAAAAGCCATTCCATCACCATTATTATCCTTAGAATTGAGCACTGATTCTTCATTTTTGGTTTCCTCTTATCTTTAAGTTCCTAAAGTCTTATTTTCTACATTACTAGCTGATTCCTTTTAGTTTTCATTTTGGTTTTATCCCTGTTATCTATTAGATTATTTTCGATCGTTTCCTCCCATTGATTCAATGATTTAAAATTATAAATATAAACTTAATAAATATTTATTTGAAATCTCTTAAAAATCCCAATTCTTTCAAATTAAACATTCAATCATAAACCTTATTATTGAAATAAACAAAATCATACATTCTTTTTTCATCCTCAATTTCGTAATAATATTGAGTAACAGGGGTTTTGGGGTTTTGGGGAGATCGGAAGAGCGTCGTGT